CAGTGCTAGGTTAGGGCTAATTATTTGCCCCTGCTGAGGCAAGACTCTTCTGAGTACTCTACCTAATATCCTATGATTCATGAGGTTTTCCAGTGTCCCTGGTGGAAACAGGTACCATTCCCAGCCTTGTGTGAATAGTGGGTGCCATTACCTTTAATTCCTTCAGGTTTTTTTTTTTCCCCAGCCTTAGCTCATGTCCTCACACACAGATGCATTCTCTGCATATCTGCCCAAGGTTGGGTAAAGAAAGAAGGTGAAAGAAATTTGTTTGTCAACTGTAAAGTACTATTCTGATGTAAAGTTTGGGATATCACCCTGATTTGTCTGCCATTCACTAATGTCAAAATCCAGAGATAACTAGAGACAAGTTATCCTAGTTCTATTCTTCCATGAGGAAAAAGCAAAAATAAGTAAATAAATAAATAATGGGCTAGGGCTGCAGCAGGGTGAATGGAAGGTAGACTGAAGGCCTGAATTATCTAGGGCGTTTTACCTGGTTGACATAGGGATTAGGAGAGAAGAACAGAAATTACAGCTATCTGTGTGTCCCAGTTGTCTGACTCAGGATGACCACAGGCCCTGCTTGAAAGCCTCAGTAGCTGAAGGATCAATAACCCAGCTCTTCTACCCATTTTGACATATCAGTTGGGTAATTCTGTTAAGGGGTCAAGTACAAGGCAGAGGCTAGGAAGCTTGGAAACCAAAGAATGCCTAGGAACTGTTCTCAGAGTGAAGTCCAACCCTGGACCTGGGGCAGAAACTGCTGTTTATTTGGTCAGAAGGTGAACAGAAGTGCTTTGGTTATACTCTAGTTGATATTCTCTAAGCACATTCCTATTTCAGGACTATACCAGGAAGTAGAATAAATCAAGTGGGACTGAACACTGCATATGAATTCTAGCATGTAAGGTCTTGTAGTTGAAGTAGTTGAAGAGAGCCAAGGATTGAATATTAGGATTGATGGGGGAGTGATGTATTCTTTAATTTATTAATTCATTCACTAAATATTTATGGAGCATTTACTTGGTGCCAGGCACTAACGGAAAGAGATAAAAGACATTGTGTGCCTCTTAGCAGATGAGAAAGGCAAATATTTGCATTGGAATATGGCAGGTACCAAGGAGGGGCTTGGCACAGATCACTCTGAGACCTCAGAGGAGCACATCTAAGCCAACCTTGTGTAAGAAGTGGCTATGAGGATGGACTTTCTGGAGAAAGTGATGCCTAGGCTGGGCCTTAAAGGGTAAGAATTGGTCATGTACAAAAAGTAGAGGAAGAGCATCTCAGGCAGAACAGAGGCAGGATTCAGTGCAATTAGTTTCTGGTAGTGTAAGCAGGTTGTTTCATTGGCTGTAGGGGATAAATGTGAGCTGGGGCTGTTGAGAAAAAGCAAGTGTCAGATGAAGAAGGGCCTGGCATGCCATGCTAAGGAATTTTACCCCAAAGGCAGTGGAAAACCACTGAACAGTTTTGAGTAGAAGAAAGGTGTGATTGGATCTGCTTTTTAGAATCTCTTTCTGGTAGTGATAGGGAGGAGGGCCAGCCATCAGGTAAAGCAGGGAGCCCAGCTTTTAGCATTGACTACCTTGCCCTTCCTCCTGTCTTTATTATCCCTTTCTCTTTATAAAATCTATTTTCTCTTTTCTGCATTATCCAGTATCATTTCTAACCACTGTCTAATTTATTCATGTTGACTCAGCTTATCCAAACATACCATGCTCATTCCCATCTCTGTGCCTTTTCATTCAGTAAGCATTTAACAAGTACCTGTAGTAAACCAGTCATGGTTCCTGGTATGAAGAACCAAAGATGAATGAAACATGGAACCTACATTTAGGCTCACAGACCAGTAGAGAGATACCCATGGGAGCACATTGTTACTATAGGGATGATAATGGCCATGAAATGGATAAACATAGAGTACTGTGAGCATAAAGAAAAGGGAATCATGTCAATGAGAAGCCCTGTTCCTTCTCTGCTAAATCCTGCCTTCACTCTGTATATAGAGGCAGGGCAGGGTCTTTATACACTAGTTACCTATCACATCTGTCCTCTATTTAGAACTGTTAGTGGCTTCCTGCTGTGTTTGGGGTGAAACTCCTCAGCATGGCACACCAAGGCCCTTCTTCATCTGACTGCATAGTATAATAGTTTGGAGCTTGGTCTCTGAAACCAGAAAAGATTTTAATCTTGGTTCTGTCACTTATGAGACATATGACCTTGGCCAGAAATTATTTGTGCCTCAGTTTCTTCATCTGTAGAATGGGGCTAATGGTTGTATTGACTTCATAGGGTTATTTTGTAGATTAAGAAGTTAATATACATATAAATCTTTAGATGGTTCTTGGCATGTGAAAATTATTCAATAATTATTGACTTTTTTTTTTAATATTTTATTTATTTATTTGACATACAGAGATCACAGTAGGCAGAGAAGCAGGCAGAGAGAAAGAGGAGGAAGCAGGCTCCCCATTGAGCAGAGAGCCCGATTCGGGGCTCGATCCCAGAACCCTGGGATCATGACCTGAGCTGAAGGCAGAGGCCTTAACCCACTGAGCCACACAGGCACCTCTTATTGACTATTTTTACTCTCAGTTTTGCTATCATGTCAAGAAACTTTAACCTTTAATTATTACTGTGTTACTTGCCCAGTGTTAAGTGTTACCATAGTATTTCTTTCAAGAATGATTATATAATAATCTTTGGAGGAAGCATACATTGCATATGCATCTGTACTCGTGAGAGACTCAGAGCATGTCTTAAGGTGTTTTAGGTATGTCTTAGGGTGATCAGCCATTCCAACTTGCTCAGAAGTGATGGGACGTCTAGTGTTAAAATCAGGAAAATCCCAGACAAACTGGGACAAGTTGTCCACTTTATGTGCAGTGGGTCCTTCAGTTTTGTTTTTTATTTATCTCTTATTGGTCTCAAACTTCACTTTCAAATAAGCTTGCTTTGGCTTTGCCACAGATATTTATTTTTTGCCTAGAAAATATAAGGTCACAACCTGTGGGTTTCTTTGGGGTTTCCTGAAATTCTGTAGGGTTTAAGATAGAAAATATGAGGGATTCCTGAAAAAAACAAACAAACAAACAAACAAACAAACAAAAACAAAACTCCCTTCCATCTGCTCTGGGTATATTTACTAGAAATTGTGGACAACCACAATTCCATGAATTCCCTAAGTGGCACCGAGGGATTCTTCCTCCTTTTCAAGTCCTACCACCACTCTACTCACCTGCATTGGGACAACATTTGCCTAGGCCATTGTTTTTCAGACAACATTCCTTAAGTAGCCACGGGGACCTCTCTAAGTATTTCTTAAAACCAGGACACGTGTTTACTGAAGGCTTGCCCATCTTCCTCAGTAAAACTGAAAGTCTGTGTCAACAGCCTCTGAAAGTTTCGACCCCAGTGCATTAGCTTTCCAGGGCTTCCATAACAAAGCAGCACAAACCAGGGAGCTTAAACAACAGAAATGTATTGTCTGTCAGTTCTGGAGGCCGGAAGTCCAAGATCGAATTGTCAACAGGATTGGTTCTTTCAGAGGGCTATGTGGGAGAATCTGTTCCCTGCCTCTCTTAACTCTAGTGGTTTGCTGGGAATGTTTATCATTCCTTGCCCCATAGATGCATGCCCCAATCTCTGCTTCATCTTCACATGGCATTCTCGTGTTAGATTAGGAACCCGCTCTATTCCAGTAGTACTTCGTCCGAACTAATTACATCTGCAATGACTCGGTTTCCAAATAAGGTCACATTCTGAGGTTCTGGGTGTTAGGACTTCAACATGGGAATTTTCAGGTTGGGGGCAAGGAGTACAATTCAATCTTTAATGCCCAGATCTTCAGGTGAATAAAAAAAAAAAAAAAAGAAAAAAAAAAGAAAACCCCCCCCCCCAAAAAAAAACAAAATAAAAAATGAAAACTCCACGGACACTAAAGAACACTTCTCCATAGGCCAAGTCATTACTCATAAACCCATTTCAGTTCTCATTCACTGTGCATTTGATACTTTCCTTTTGCCAGATTTGCATCCTCACCAGTCACCACTTATTCACCACTCCATAGGGCATTGCATGACTGTAGGGATATTAAGAAATATGATAGACACTTGAGTCACCAGTTCTCAAGCAGGGAATATCAGGATCTTTTTTAAGGGAAGCCTGATGAGGAAAAGTTGAATCCGTGGCATAACTCTTATAAAGGCAGTGACTCCCGTCCTGATGAATAATAATTACAAGCTGGTTGCCTTTTTAAATGCTCTAGAGAATACCGTGGTGTGTACAGACAGGGGTTGGAGGAGTGTGTGTGTGCGTGTGGCAATATGCGAGTGCAGCAGTCTCTTAAGATCGCCAGGCTCCTCCCCAGCCTTCCTGCAAACATTAAGCCTTCACTGGGTGCACAGGGAGCAGCCTGCATCTCCTCTCTCTGACCGTGGCTGCTTCCTTCTGTCAGCTCCCTGGAATTGCTGACCCCTTCCCCTGCAAAGAGATAGCTCTATTCCAAAAGATAAACACCAGTAGTCACAGGGAACTTGGGGGCAAAAGTCAAACAAGTCTCCTAGTTATTGTTTCCTGGGTGTTCTCGCATAGAAACACAGACGATTTTTGTGGATGAGGTATTTCTGACTCTGGCAGTTACAGCCTGAGATGCAAAGGCAGTGATGGATCTTCGCAAGGGTGGGGAGTCGCAGCGCACGGGGACTGGGGTTCTCGCATGCCTCCTCGCTTCTTCCCAGGGACATCCCATCTCTGAGAAATCTCAGGGACGGAGGAGGCACCTAGCTAGTGCCCACTTGTGCCAAGCTGCCAAGCTGCTAGCTTGCTGAGAGGCGGCGGGCGAGCCTGGCACTCAGCTCCTCCGTGCTGGATCAGGGAGCTGTGGGCTCCCCGCCTACGCCCTGCGCTGCAGCTCTGGGCAGCCCCGGGTGGGCTGGGGGAAGGCGCGAAGCTCGGTCAGTGACTGCAAGTTGACTTTCGCTCACTGTTGCTGCTGGCAGAATACCTACACCAATGCGGACAAGCTCCTAGAAGCCGCCGAGCAGCTGGCTCAGACGGGGGAATGTGACCCCGAGGAGATCTACAAGGCAGCTCGACACCTGGAGGTACGCATCCAGGACTTTGTGCGTCGGGTCGAACAGCGGAAACTTCTCCTGGACATGTCTGTCTCCTTCCACACACACACCAAAGAGGTAAGGTGGGCTGGTGGAAAGAGAGCGTTGGCTGGTATGCCCCGGGGGCCTGGGTGGTCTTAGGGTTCCTAGCCTCCTGACAGTGATGACACTCGCAATTTGCCCCTGATAACCTGTATTTAGTTCTCAACCAGAATGGAACAAAATTTTTCCCTTCTCATCTCTAGTGAGGGAAGAGCCACAGAAGCAGGTCATTGACGAAGTCTGCTAGGGCATTCAGTCTGCAGCTGGAGAAATTTGGGGATCCCTGGTGTAGAAATAGCCATGGCAAAAGGAAATGTATAATCGCCGACTCCTTTCCCATCCCAGACCCACTTTCTTTTGGTTGCTGTTTCCTGTCAGAAATCAGTCCAGCAGAACTTTGATCATCTTTGCTACCAGCAAGAAGCATACAGAGTTTGCGAATGTGTTCCGTGTTTTTCTTTTATCTTTTTAAAACAGAGGATTAAATCTTCTTAATGAGGTCTGCCAGAGGGTTGACGTTAAAGCAAGTTGGTTCTCAACTTGCCTGGTGGTGGAGCAGCCGCCCGGTGAAGGAAAAGGGAACTTACCCTCATGCAGGAGGAAGCCAGCTGGGCTTAAGTCCGGCCTGAATCATTCACAGAGTGGAGAGGGGAGAGGGGAGGATGGATTAGGTTACACTATTGGCAGGGCGGAGGGCCTCATAGAGAGGAGGAGGGCTGCAAACCTGCAATTGCTTTTCATTTCTGATTAACATGGCACACTCTGAAATGGAGTAAGTGGCCAGCGAGGAGGCACACTGAGCATCTTCTATAATAACACCCTTGGCAGATGAACTCATTAGGTGTATGCGTGCTTGTGTTCCCCCAGGAATTCATTTTAATAGAGTATTAATTAGAGTTTGATTGCTTCTCAGGAAAAAAAAATTAACCCTGCTTAATTAAGTTGATTTTTTGATATTTGAAATGCATTAAGAAGCCTGGTTGTTACTACTTCACAGGCTTTTCTGACACTTGGTGGGAATGAATGCAAATCATTGCAGTGCCTATCAGAGAAAAACATGAAAAGATAATGTTTTCTAAACTGAGATTCCCCAGGCAGATGGAGGGCTGGCGAGCTCCCTGAAGATGGCTCTGGTTCTTCTCTGTGGGACCCACAGCCACTCTCTGATGAGTGTCTGTAAAGCAAGGGGATTAGCTTTAATCCAGGTTTTCCTGCCGGGCTGTCTGCTTGCTTGGGGCTCACCTGATTCTTAATGGTTTCAGAAAGCAAAGTCTTGTGTATTCTCTTCTAATTATGAGCCTGTGAGTGATGGAATGGAGCAAGAATGAACAGGAGTCATGTTCCCCGTGAGGGCTATGGGGGTGCTCGCTGCCCAGAGAGGTGATGGGTGAGGTTAGTTTAGCCCTCTCTCCATGTTCTGTGCATGGACCTAAAGACTGGTATTCTAGTCCAGAGTCTGCTGCTATAGAACCATGTGAGCCAAAAACTAATGATATACTATATGGTGACTAACATAACATAATTAAAAAAAGACAAAAAACAAAAAACAACCATGTGATCTTATGCAGATCACTATGCCCCTGGCCCTAGGTTGCCCCATCTATAAAATCATGCAGTTGGATTCAGTGGCCCCAAGACCCCTTATAGTTCTAGTGTTCAAGACTCCTTTCTTTTTCTTCTTTTCATCTTCTTTATTTGATGGTGATAATAACAATAATAAATAAGAGTAAGTCTGAAATAATACAGATGATTTCTCTGACCTAAGATGTGGTTCATTGTAAGCACTCAATGCATAATAGGTAGTATTTTTTTTTTAATTGGGCACCTACTCCTTGCCAGACACATGGAATCGTCATGATCATCTTATGGTTTAGATTTTCTTTTTTTTTTTTAAAGATTTTATTTATTTATTTGACAGGCAGATATCACAGAGAAGCAGGCAGAGAGAGAGGAGGAAGCAGGCTCCCTGCTGAGCAGAGAGCCCGATGCGGGGCTCAATCCCAGAACCCTGGGATCATGACCTGAGCTGAAGGCAGAGGCTTTAACCCACTGAGCCACCCAGGCGCCCCTGGTTTAGATTTTCTTAAACACAGTTTCAAACGGGGAAACGGGCTCGCAAGAGTCTGTCTACGTCGTGATGGAGCTTCTCACCTGTGGAGACCTTACGTGTCTTCCAGAAGACTGCTCGTGCTTGCCTCTGCTGTTCCATACTCTCTCCTCCCATGTTCCTCTGCTATCTCCTCCCCTCCTCTGCTGTTCTTCCTTCTCCTTACCCTTCTTTTTCCTCTTTACATTTTCAACCCTTGAAACAGGGCCTTGATGGGGAGGGTAGATCTTAGCTGAGAAATGCAAAGTGTTGCTAGGTTGTAGGTGTGGGAGGCAGAGGCTGATAAATACTGTCACAGATCCTTTCTGCCTAGTTATGGCTAATTTCTTCCTCCTTCCTTTTTTTTTTTAAGTAGGCTCCATGCCCAGTGTGGAGCCCATTGTGGGATTTGAACTCACGACCCTGAGATCAAGAACTGAGCTGAGATCAAGAGTCAGATACTTAACCAACTGAGGCACCGAGGCACCCCCTCCTCCTTCCTTTTCTTTCTTCCTATCTGCATCAGTTGTCTCCTGAGTTTTTGCATTAATGCCACTGTGTAATAGAATGTTATTGTGGGATATGATTTTGAAGGAATTAGGTAGAGCCCCCTGTACAAGAGATTTCTGGGCAGGAACTGAGCATCCGCCTTCATAAATGATTTAACCTAGGCTTCCCGTGACTCCCCAGGCTGAAGTTCATAATTTTACTTTTTCCCACTTCCTACATCAAAAGATTTACTCTAATTAGGATCAGAGAGGAAACAGGAGGAAGTTATGAGAAAGATACCCTCCAAGCCCATTTCTTCTATAGATTGAATAGTGTGTTTAATCCTTTTGGCCCTGCATCTTGAATTCTTGGTGACCATGGGAGTCTGGAAAGTTAAAACCTTCTAACCATTTTATTGCAGTGTTCTTCATAATTTGCAGTGTTCTTCATAATTTGAATAATTAAAAACTATCTAAATAGTCCATGTTGAATGATCCATTAAACTATTCACAGTACATCTAGCCAGCAAAATATTATATAGTTATTATAAATCACATTGTCAAAGATTATGAATAGCATGAGAAAGGGCTTGTAGTGTAATATATAGAACACTGTATATCCAGCACGATCACAATTTTGATACACACACAGAATAGAGACCAGAAAGCAGTATACAAAGAAGTTAAATGCATGGATGATTTAATTATCTTCTGCATTCTTTTGTTTTATAACTTTCCTTCAATGACATGTTTGATTGGAAATCCATAACAATCCCAATTAGTGTTATTTTACAAAAATAAAATTTGTCATCCTCTTTGGAGAGAAGAGCTACACTATAAAGAGAACCGACAAACATGTGTTGGGACCTTCTGATGTTCACAGAGCTTCAACTATTCGTATCTATTGTGCTGAACTTTCCAATAGCTTCTTTTTGCCTGGGGACAGGAGGGCAGCTGGCATTTTGCTGTTCTTGAGAGCTAGGGAGAATGTAGGGAGAAGAATTTACTCAAGTCCTCATTTTCTTTGTCCAGGGAGAAGGCATTTGTAGCAAGTGTCATCTGCTCCACAGAGATTGTCCAGACAGAATTCTCTTTCCTTGTGTGTTTCCATGGAAATGCTGCAATTGCTGGGCTTTCAAAATATCCATTTTTACATATTTTTCTAGTAATAATATGAGAGTCAAATTAACTAAAGAATGTGGCCAAGATAATCAACCTTGACTCTTTATTACACAGCTTAATTAAATGCCCATTTCTATTTGTTTCTAAACTTGTGAAATCATTCTTCCGTGCTATTTTCTGCTCAAACAGGCACGCACACACTCACACACACACACACACACACACACATCCCACAAACACCTCAGACACTCATATGAACACATGGTCCTCTCCCCACCCACCACAGAACCAAAACGAAATCAGTCTTCCAAAGCAATGATGCTTGCAAGAACAAGACAGTTTTGGCCTCCATCTCAATTGCCAACTGTCACGATATTTGTTTAAGAAATAAAAGCTGGTCATCGATGCCAAAGAAAAATGATCTCTTCAAAGTGAGGGGAGGGCGGTTCACCCTGTGGAGCTAGATCTGTGAGACATCTTAGGGCTGTGGATTGTCCCAGCACAGTGCTCCACAGCTGTGCAGGCGAACCGCCAATCAGCAGAGGAAAGTGGTACGGTAGACTACCTTCTTCCGTAACCACTCATACGTAAGCCTCATTAGTTCTACAGACTTCCTAGTGTCTCCCTTCCTTGCCCTTCCTCCCTGCCTTTTTCCATTGCCTCCTTCTCTGCAGGCAGTATGGGCTCCTGAACTCCCCGGTTCACTCCTAGGACTAACTTCATGTAGTACGTTCAAAGGCTCCATCCACTGCACCTTTGCTAAGGTTCTAGAACTTCTCAAATTAGGTCCATTGTTTGGATACAGGTATTTGGGGCCACAACCACATGTGTTCTCTGAGAGGAAGAACACATAAAACCACCTAAGTGCATCTGTCCACATGGACCGAGTAATCATTGCCAACCAAAGAGCAGAGCCCTGAAGGAAAGAGTCCCACTACAGGTGTGTTTGACCAAGAAGAGCATCTGGAAATGGCTGAAACATGAGAGTCATTCTGGAAGCAGTGGATTGAAGGAAAAGATGCAGTGCTAATGTGTTGGACTCTCCTTACACAGAGGGTAAAAAAGATCACCCTAGGGGAGAGAAACCAAATGGAGAACAACAGGATTACCTCACACACTCCATGAGTTTACCTAGTTTTGGCAGTCATTGCTTGTGGTAGCTTGAAGGGAGAGACCATTCTGACTGGGTTTCACTGGCTGCCTGATAACTAGTAAATTACTAATAGAAGTGGTGCTCTGATGTGGATTATTTTCAAAGCAATCTAGGCACACTCTTCAGGGGTAAGTCAGATGGACACATATACAGAAGGAAACCCACAGGACATTCAGATGGGAAAATTGTAGCCTAGGAAATAGAATATTGACCCTTACTCATAGTTTAGGGACACTAATGTTCCTTTTTGTCTACTTTATGTACGCCTCAGAGGTCCTTATTCAAAAAATCGTAGTATGAGCTTGCGATTTAAATGTGCTGCTCCTACAGTCACCTGTGTGGGTGTGACCTTGTGGGATTGCAAGTGGCTCACAACTCAAGCTTTCTAGGTTGCTAATAGTGTCTTAACTTGATATCATAGTTTTCCTCAAACTGTTGCTAAAGTTTCTGAACTTTGGGTGTCTCTGTGTCCAAGCTGTGACTACTGTGTTTCAGTTTAGAAAGCCATTTCTTTGCTACCCTCTTCTTGACATTAGCCTTTGAAGAGAAACCATAGCAAATTAGAGCTGGAAGGGATTTTAGGGATAAGCTGGAGAGCCCACACATACACATGCCTACACGTGCACACACTGACCAGTTTCAATAGGAAGTGGTTGAAGTAAAGTCGTTTTCTCATGCTCAAGGAGTAGCCAACAGAGGCAGAATCAAGAATTATCACCAGTAAATACCAGTTTCATTCAAGAGCTCCTTTTCTTCTGTTTGTTTTCATAACAGAAGGACAGATAGAGAAAGATGTCACTAATATTTTGTCTTTGGTGCTGTAGTCCCCTTCCCTAGCTCCAAGCCAAATTCTCTTTAATCACAAGCAATTTTGTCTGACATTTTATCCTCCTGAAGGTAGACCAGTGCTTCCTTTTCTTATCAGCCTGCTAACCACTGGGCTGAGCTGCACCGAGTACTGTCCTTCATCATTTATCTCTTAGCTGATTTTCCTTAGCAGCAAGTAGGTTTGATTCTGCCTTAGACAAGTTTATTTATAATGTAATAGAATATGTGACTAGAAATGTGAGAAATCAGTTTCAATTCACTAGTCAAAGACTGTTTGGGGGAAGGACACATTTTTCTAATGACAGTGACTTCAGAGATCAGAGTGTATTCTCAAATGTCCCTACTCTTTCCCTAGTCCCTTTGTTTATAGCACTGATGTCTCATTTTTATCTGGCAATTTCTATGGTCGGTTTCTTTACCCCTGCTGTTTAGCTGCATGACCATCAGGAGGAGGGAGAGCCATGAAGCATGGTGGATTTCCTCAGGAAAAAATGATGCTTTCTTCCCTAGACCTACACCAGAGGTGTTCAAGTTTTATTAAGAATAAGAGAATGGAGTGCCTGGCTCATTCAGTTAAGTGTCTGACTCTTGATCTCAGCTCAGATCTTGATCTCAGTGTCATGAGTTCAAGCCCCACATTGGGCTCCACTGGGAGCTGGGTGTGGAGAACAAAAAAAAGAAGAAAAGACCTCTAAGCTATGAAGCCATTAAAATAGCTTAAGGATGGTACTGAGAACAGAATTATCTTAAATCAAATAAAATTCTCAAGAACCCTATAATCCTCTTTTCTGTCTCTTATTCCTGTAATAGCAAGTACCAACCTTACCCTGATCGGTCTTCCGTCTCAATGCTTGTCCTCCCTCAACACATCAAGTTTCTTTTCAAGTCTTCTTGTTTCTTCTTTCTTTCAACTTTCTAATCAAGTCTTATATGACTTGTTTGGTATCTACAGTTTTTATCTCTCTCTTTACATCCTCTTTTCCTTTGCTTTTATTTCCTTTCCTTTCCTTTCCCTTTTCTTTTCTTTTCCTTCTTCCTTTCTTTCCTTTAGAAATAGCTAGACTTTCCAGTCTCTAGGCTTTCCTTAGCCATCCCAGGACAAAGCAGCAAAAACAGCAAAGAGAGGCCCAGCTCAGCCTAGCCTACTGAAAGACCAAATCTGGTGTTGATCTTTTACTAGTTCTGAAATGAAGGAGTACTTTAAACTTTCCTGCTGCCTTCTGGTGGGAACTGGAGGTGGCTTGCATCAAAAGTATCTTTTAAATATAATACCTAGCACTTCCTCTATGCTAGGCACTGTTTCTAAATGGTATATATAGATACAGGTATCTATATAGATAGATATGGATATAACTCACTTATTTGTGTATATGTACATATAGACATACACACAAATGGTATCAACTTCTTAGTAATATTAATAACTCTGGAGGGTACATACTATTATTATCGCCACCCTACTGATAAGGAAAACTGGGGTGCAAAGAGGGTAGCTTATTTCCTCAAGGTTGTCTAACTGATACATGGTAGAATTGGGGCTTGAAACTCTTAACCATTATGCTCTACTGCCTGTCTGTACAGTAATTTTTCAGAAAAACCATTATCTTTTACCCGGGGACTTCAGCACCTGTAGAAAATGCTTTTGTTCTCTAGGCCAAATGGCAACATGAAATAACATGAACCAACAGTGACCAATACCCTGAACTTCCTGGTTTCCTGGTTTCAAACCAATTTGAAATAAATACATTCATACATTTAGGAATATGTATCCCAGCTTCCATGGTCTGGAAAACTTGCTGTCTGTTTGTACAACAAAAAAAGTGTTTTTTTTGTTTTGTTTTGTTTTGTAAAGGAAATAAACTGAATTACAACTAGATTGTAAGCTGCTAAATGACAGGAACACTGAATAATAGTAATTTGTATCCCTTATAGCAATCATCACAATGCCAAGGGTTTATTAATAGTTTTATGTGTTCAGGGGCACCGGGTGGCTCAGTCATTAAGTGTCTGCCTTCGGCTCAGGTCATGATCCTGGGGTGCTGGGATCGAGTCCTACATCAGGCTATGTGTTTTACACAGGAAGTCATAGAGAGCCAAGGATGGAATGATTTATTCAAAGGTACCATGAGTTAAAAGACTAGGCCAAAATCTACATCTGATTCTGTCTCTCCATTTTCTCTCCATACTATTTTTTGTTTTGTTTTGTTTTGTTGTCTCCCTGGTAGAGCCCTGAGCTTATCTTTCTGGCTAGCCAGGTGAAGGTTCCTTATTTCTAAGCAAACATCAGACTTATCTTTCTCTTCCTCATTTTGTGACCATGCTCGGTAGGAGTATTAGAAATGGAGCCCTGTGGCAGGCCATGGAGACCTAGTTTCAGTATGAAAAAGAGTTATCATTACATGAGTTTTCAGTAATTCAGTCCAGCTCCTCATCATTTCCAGTACTTATTCTGTTCACAACATTATACTTAGCTCTTTTAAAGTTGCCTGACCAGTAATATCACCCTGGCTGCCTTTCAGTGCTTTGAATGTAATGGGGGAAATGTTTCATCCTTACCCTGAAATCGAGATAAGCTACATTTTTAGCATTCAACCTTCTAACCAACCTGGCACCCCTGAAAAGACCAAAATAATTTAGCATGACACATATTTTTAAAATTAATCTTCACTTGGTTCTCTTTTTTTTAAGATTTTATTTTTTTATTTGAGAGAGAGCAAATGGGAGAGGGAGATCAGGAGAGGGGAGAGGTCAGAGGGAGAAGCAGACTCCCCACTGAGCAGGGAAACCAATGTGGGACTCGATCCCTGGACTCCATGATCATGACCTGAGCTGAAGGTAGTGGCTTAACCAACTGAGCCACCCCGGCGCCCCTTCTTCATTTGGTTCTTATTGAGCATCGCATTCCTTTTTGCATGTTTCCAAAGTCATGGTACATCTCTAGAGATCAACATCTAGCGGTCTGGAGTATGTACAGCCCTCCTTTCTGAAAGATGAAATAATATATGTCCCCCAGCAGTCCCCTGTTCTTCCTAGTGTCTCCAGGATGAGTGATCACCCTGCTCTACGATGGCAAGTTTCACTGACCCACAGGGAAGTGAAGCCTGGGGTGGTTCTCATCCTTAGGGAACAGAAACAGTGAACTTAACAGAGTGAATTTAATGGTGTGAACTTAACAGAAATGTGTAATGAATTTAAATGTAGGTATGCTGGTGAGAAGGGCAGTCTGACATCACACTGACTGGTGGAGGGTAGGTTGCATGTCCCATGTCTGACTTTCTGGCCCTGGCCCCAGCCCTGACCTCTCCTGTCTGCCCTGCACGGGGTCTCTGCTCTCTCTCCCACAGTTGTGGACATGGATGGAAGACCTTCAGAAGGAGATGCTGGAGGACGTTTGTGCGGACTCAGTGGATGCGGTCCAGGAACTGATCAAACAGTTCCAGCAGCAGCAGACCGCCACTCTAGATGCCACGCTCAACGTCATCAAGGAAGGCGAAGACCTTATCCAGCAGCTCAGGTCAGCGCCTCCCTCCCTAGGGGAGCCCAGCGAGGCCAGGTCAGCATGGGCAGTGCTCTCCAGTGGGAAATGCCCTCGACTAGATGTGAGATAAGTTATGTCCCAGTCTTGGCTCAACCACAGCCAGCTTTGTGGTCTCTTGTGAGCTTCAGTCTCTCCATCTGTCAGATATAAAAATGCCTGTGCCATACCCAACTTGAGTTGAGGATGAAATAGGAAATGAAGAAGCTCTGATGTTTCAGAGAATTATGTATTATTCATGATGTTATTCAGCAATCAATAAGTAACACAGACACAAAAATTAACCACATTCAATAGGAAATAAATAGCATCTTCATGAAGAATTACGGAGTAGTTGGTTATGTGGGGAAATAGCCTTTATGGAGTCCCATGTCATTTGGCTTCTGATCTTGGGCTGAACCCTGAATGCTAGTGCTCCAGGTGGCAAAAACAGTTGGCTTTGGCTCCATGGGGATCTAGAGAGTGTGTGTCCTTATCCCAGTCTGCTCTCCATTGCTCACATATGACCTTTCCACCATTCCTTGCTTCCCAGAAAATACAACTCCCTCTGTACCAACCTAAACAAACATAACCAAGAAGGAAAATCCTGTTGAAAACCTTACATTCATTTAGAATCACCCACAACATTGCCTCCTTTCTGTGGTCATCAATATCTAGTTTCCTCCTGTCAAGGGCACAGACTCCTCAGATAAGGTGTCACAGGCAGTGAGCCAGCCCTCAGCACCACCTCTGGGCCCAGGTGCTGTACAAGTAGGACTTGATGGTGCTAACGATGTCTTCTGCCCCCCAGGGACTTGCTCTGTCCTAGAATCACTGAGTGTTGGGACCTCTGCCAGCCCCAGACAGAAATAATCTCATCAGCAAGTCCCAGGCCAGCCCTGGGGCCTGAGGGAATTACTCGAATTTGAGAGGGTTTTTCCCGGTTACTGGTTGTCCAATTAAACAAACAATGAGAACTTACCTTGAGATAGCCCCACACATTTTTTCTGTTGGAAATTAATTGTGTCTATTCCAAACATGCACGTGGGATGTTTCTGAGTCCTCCTGGTGCATACTAACAAGACAACCTCTTTCCCTTCTTTCCCCAGTTCATCTTTACTAATATATAATATATGAGTTTTGTCTGCCTATCTAAGAAACCCTACTGTTACTGGCTTCTGAAAAAAATTCCAAATAGCAGGCTGTCACTTAAGCTCTCTGGCCCTCAGCTGCTTCATCTGTGTAATTAAGGGGGTCGCTGTAGGAACTCTGTCAGCTCTAGAATTTTGTGACGGTTTTGTGTTTCCTCTCCAAATGCTCTTCGGAAGCTTAATGGGTTTTGTTCTGTGTGGGCTGGGTCCATGGGGGTGACCCCTGCTCTCACCTGCCAACCTTACATGATGCCTAAGGGCCAAGGGCTACTCTGTGATGGCGAAGGCCTGTTCTACAGCTTAGATGCCATGGATTTCAGAGAGGACCCTAGCTAGCTGTGTGACCAAGAACCACTGGGGACCGTGTGCACCCCCACTTGCATGACTCTAGCCCCGGCACCCGTCCTTGATTTCAAGACCCGTCAAAGAGGAAAAGACATGAACCATGCCTGGTGGAGAGGGGCAGATGCCTCCTGCCCAGCAGAGCACACATCTTCTCTTGGTCTCTGTGACTTCGCTGGCACTCATCATTGAAGCATCTCAGGCGGTTTGGCATCATCTCTGGGCCTCCTAGTGAGTGTGACGCTGACATTGGTGCTGTGCAAAATGGTCAGAAATTATTCTCTTCCTTCTGGAAGCTGTGTGATAGAAAACAGCCTGAGAGGAGCAGTCAGAAAGAACAAGCATATCCTTCCAACAGCAAAGTCCTCAACAAATGCATAAAACAGAGCATCGAGTACCTGCCTTATGTTCCGTTACTGGTTGGGCCGTCTGTGCAGTGGTGGGTTTGGTGCCCAGAGAGGCCGGTGTTGGGAGCTCTCAGAATGGCAGAAGGAAGGGTTCCTGACCATGGGCCTTACACCCCTTCAGAAACAATGTGAACTCAGACACAGCTGCTTCTAAGACAGACACAGGCTGACAGCATGCTGATGATTTTGCCCTTTTCTTCTGACTTCTTACAGTGTATAAGAAACCAGGAAGCCACAAGATAATGAACGTGCCCCTTTATTGCAAGCTTTAGGGCCCCCTAGAATCTGAACATCTCGACACCTATTACTGACCTATTATAATGATCTCTTTGGAGGTCTCACCACCCCCTCACTTCTCTGAGCAGCTCAGTATGTTTTCTTTTGGTTCCCCTCTATAACCTGTCACCTCCCCTGCCACTTTAGCATAGACTCTTCTGCTCAGAGAGCACAGGCCTCCCACCTGCTTGGCTGGGTTCCTCCTTTTCACACCCAAATCAGAACACATCCTCTTGGCAGCCTTGCTGTTGCCCCAGCCTAATGTGCCCCTACCCTCTACTCTCCACAGCTGGGCCTGGGCCCCCATCAGCACATGGCACTTCTCACATGTCCTTTCAGGATTCACAGCCACTCACGCAGCATGTTCTGGTCACCGAGCACATTCACAGGCACAGTCTTACTTCACAGCAAAGCACGAAGTGAGCAGGGCGGGGCATTACTAAGTGCCCTTGTCAGGAGGCTGCTGGGACTCCAGGAGGTGATGTCCCCAGGCCACAGGCCCCTATGTGTCACTGGGGGCACAATCTGTGCTTGTGACGTCTGGATCCCATGCTTTCCTCACAGCAGCTTGGAGCCTGTGTGGCAGCACAGGCTCCGCACGGTACTGTGAAGTGGAGGAGGAATTTTGGTAGCTGTGATCTCGTTTTATTTAAACCAGGAAGTGATTTTTTTTTATGTGCCTTTAGTTTGTCTACTCTTATATGTTGTGACCATTGTGTTTACTGTCATGCGTGTGCACATGTGCATGTTAAACCTGTGCGTTGTAGGCTGCATGTATGTGTGGCACCCATCCGTTTCCCTAACGCATTCTGCCTCTGAGAGCCCTTTGCCTACGTTCCCTTGTCTGATCCCTTTCTCCGCCCGGAGGACGAGGAGAGCTGCTAGTCTCAGCGCTGCATTGCGGGGAACCTCAGAGAGGATACGCGAGTCATCGGTTCCCCTGCTCCAGAGATAGTCCCAGGGTCGCAGGGGGAGTGTGAGAAATGCCCTGAGTGACCCAGCCCATTCACACCCCCCTTGCTCAGAGGAGGAAGACCGCCTGCCCCCATATCCCTTTAACATGGCCAGGCCTTTCCCCCTCCTGTGCCGCAGGGACTCGGCTGTGTCCAACAACAAGACGCCCCACGGCAGCTCCATCAGCCACGTCGAGTCAGTCCTGCAGCAGCTGGACGACGCCCAAGTGCAGATGGAGGAGCTGTTCCATGAGCGCAGGATCAAGCTGGACATCTTCCTGCAGCTGCGCATCTTCGAGCAGTATACCATCGAGGTAGAGGGGTGGCGGGGCACGCGGACAGATAGGGCGGGGAGTCAGGGAGAGTTCTGGGGGCTCCACCTAGGGGCCTGCTTCCTGCTCAGGGGCACGGCCTGGGTCTGGCAAGGGGGCATTGGGCAGGACCCTAAGGGAATTCTAGGGGATGGTGCCTTGAGGATCCATTTGCAGTCAGCAGATTCCCAATCCACGTTCTACCTGGTTCTGTTCCTCTGTCTTCACCTGCTCTGCCAGGCAGAGAGCCTCTCTGTTTCACTTTCTGTCTGGGAATGACTTTATCGAGAAGGTTTTTGTTGGGGTTATTTGGACCCTTGGTACGTTGGTTCCTAAAAGACCATGGCGTTGGCTATTTGAGTTAGCCATTGGGTCCTTTAGCTTCAGGAGCAGGTAGGTGTTAAAATTCGGAGGCCTCCTCAGATAATGACTAGAGGTCAGGAGCTAGATGAAATCACAGAACAGTCAGGAAGTCAGGAGCCACAGGGAGGAAGACCTTTTCTTTAATTTGCTTTGCGCTCACCAAGAAAGTAAGTCTGTGCTAAGGCCATCTTGGTTCATCTCATGGACTCCTCAGTTCCTTCCACAAAGGTCAGAATTGGATGTTCTGATATATTTATATCCCCTTTGTGATGCCTATTAATAATGTCTGTTCCACATAATATCCAGCTATTATTATTTTCTACTTTGAAACACAAACTAAAGGCAGGCCAGTAGGGTTCCTGGGTTGTGAAGTGTCCAACACCCAAGGCACTTTGTCCTTTTCAGGGATGGGAAAGGGTTAAATTAAGGAGGTACTATCTTTGCTCCCTGCTGGTGTGGTATGAGGGAAAGCTGCTCTCCACCCATCATTTTAAAAAAAATTTTGTTTTGCATTCCGATGGGCTCCTAACAGTTTGGGCTTCTGGGTGTCTGGGAATGATCTTCCTAACAATATCTGTGGAAACTTCATGAAACTGGTTTGGAAGGAAAGGACTTCCCCCCCCCCCCGCCAATGTTGCAGTTCCCATATCCCAATCCCAGTCCCAGGCAGGACCAGAGAACTGTCCTGGCAAAAGATGCTCTTTTCTTCAATTCTGTGACCAACAGGGTTTATATTGACAATCAGAAATATAAGAGGAAAGCAGTCCTAAAGTAATCCTTCCTATCCATTACTGTCTTAATGATTTGTCTCTTCTTATAACCACACCTCTACCTTTCCTTCCCTGGAAGCCACTGCAATTTCTTGCTTAAGACTACCTGTTTAATAAAAGGGGCGGTCTGGATAGTTTGTGGCACAAAGGAAAAGAAGAAAAGATGTCTTTAAATTTATATCTTGATTATCCTTCCAACTTATTCTATAACTTTAGGTGAATTTATATGTACTTTTTACTTAATTTACTTTGAATCTACACTCAAAAGGATGTCAGGGGGCAAGTACTATTAAAACGTAAGTTGTGGGGCACCTGGCCACCTCTCCTGGAGGTGTGTGTAACTCTTGCTTGATCTCAGGGTCACGAGTTCAGGCCCCACACTGAGTGTAGAGATTACTTAAACAAACTTTAAGAAAAATAAATGTATACTTACAAATATATATTGAAAGAATGATAAAAATACTAGTGGAAAATTAGAGATTTTGGCAGGCAGCAGAGAGAATGTAGTGAATTTCATAGAGCTGGGGTGACCAAGGTAACAAAGACAGTAAAGAGGGGGTATGAGTTGTTAATCTCTGGTACTCGGGAGTGAGGCCCCCCAAAATAAACAGAGTTCCATTTGATTGCCAGGCCCAGCCCCAGGCACTCCCACCATCCCTCCCCAGCTCCGCTGTGCCTGCCGAAGGTGAATGTATCCCTTGGGAAATCATGAGAGCAGGTGTGGTGATTCTGCTCTCACAGTCACCATTTACTCTCCTGTCATTCCTGGTCTGCATCAAAAACTGCTTAAGTGGAAGGAAACCATCTGAGGGTTTGGATGTTTGGGTTTTATTTTGTTAGATGACATGGTTTTGAGGTCACAGTTGCTGGCTTAGTTGCAGAATGAGATGGATAGCTTCACTTTGCCATGAATTGCACCCCTGACATTAGCCGGAGGGGGTGGTTGGGCATCACTAGGGTGTGTTTGCCTATAGCGGTTCTGGGAAAATCCACTCTCACTCCTGAAAAACAATCCAGAGGATACGCCAAAATTATCCATTAAAACAAAAAAGCAAACTGCAAATCCAATACTTTAAAGCTGGCTCCTATTTAACTGTTGCACTAGAGGAGCTTGCTGTTTCAGTTACAGGATTTGAATTCTTCAACCTTGGTGTTGTATACAAATGCTCTCCCCCACCCCCGCAGCTCCCATACCATGCAACAACATGAATAGTTGATCTGTAGTAGAGAGCAAAAGTGGGGACATCGTATGAGGGTCTCATAAAATGAGGGAGATAAAAACAGTGACTTGGTTCAGCACCCTCTGGTTTACGCAATGACATGCAGGTTTTAGAAGGGGTCTTGTGCCCCATCTGGGGTGTGGCCCAAAGCTTGGGAAGTGCTGCATTTCATCCCAGATCAAAATGGAAATTCTGCCAACCCTATGAAAAAGTTCTGCTTCAACTCAGATAGTCAGAAGTTATTTTTGAGGGTGATGAGATTATTTCAAATATCAGCCAGTGTTTCACTGTGGGGGGATGACGAGCAAACATCTAGAGAAGAGCCAGAGTGGGAAACCAAGGGCAGCTTCGGCAGTGAGGGGCATGTCGGAGCTGACATTAGCCAGGACAGGGGCCCTCTCTGCAGAACCTTCAGCTATGGGGTCCTTCTCTGGAGGAAGGAATTTGATGGACATACTCGGAATTCCTGGGGATTACTGAAAACCAGAGCAGGCCTGACATCTGGGAATCTGAGCATGATGCCTTAACCATGTCACCGATGGCTGAGATGGGCTAATTAATTTAACAATTAAGATAGTACGGGAGTTGCTGTGCCAGACTCCTTTTCCTCAGTAAGATGTGTGTGGCGCCCACAGGATAACCTGGGCTGAGGTCATAGGTTGCCCCCACCAAGAATGAAGCTTACCCAGATGTAGTAGCCAACTGCTCTAAAGCCAGGACTGCAGCTGCATTCCTGACAGACCATCTTAACCTCCATGGAGACTAGATACAGTGACCCATGGGAGAACACAATGTTCTGTAAAGTGTTTCCTATACGTTCAGCTTCCCCCCATGAAAGAAGTTTTATATGAAATGGTTGTGATGGCAGAGACATTTCACCAAACATGAATAATTACGTTGTGGTGGTAGGAATATGGGTGATACTTCCTTGCTGTTGAAGCTCCCATGCGTTTCAAAGTTTTCTACAATTAACCAGAATGATCAAAAAGAAGTTTAAAAAAAAAAAAAAAAGTTTTTAGAAGCAAGAACAGGCCAGGAGTCTCCAAACTCCTTTGATCGTGCACTCTCTTAAGAAATTTTTTTGAACTTGCAACTCCCTATCTTTGCATATATTAGTTTATAAACGGTACACATGTTCTATCACTGGCTCATAATCTCAGAACTCAGGGTACCCTTAGGGTGAAATTCAGCTTTTTCATTAGAAGTTGTGGTTCCATATTTCAGATCGCCTCCTTGATCATCTCTAATTATTTTTTTTGGCCTGGTTTCGTGGCAGATCTGATTAGATCATCATTATTACTTTACCCCACAAGGTGGCCAACAGAGAGTTAAAAGTTCTCATGTGCTTTCATGCATATTATTGTCCTCAAACTGCAGTTTCTTTGCAGGAAACTTGATAAGCCATGCATCTTTCTGTGAAGCTTAGTTAAAAGTGGATAATAGATAAATCTGTTTAACTGGGTGCTTGTAAAGAGCGATAATTTGAACTCCCCTGAAAGCAACAGGATGAATGAGCCGTCCTCCTGCCCTCCTGGCAGCGCCCTCTCCCACCCCTCAGGCTGCTGGAGCTTGTAGCGAGATTCCAGTGTCAGTCTGTCAGTGAGTGTCTAGGGAAACATTGCATCTTTTTTACTGATTTAATCAAATATGTGTGCCTATGATATACATGCACATACAGATGCATATTTATACAGGGAGAATTTTTGTGTTTTCAGTGGATAATCTGGGGCACCCCTGGGGCGGGCATACTCACATTATAGAATACTAGAAATGACACAAGAAAGATACTGTACGTAGGGGACTTTATGAAAAATGGGCCACAGTTATGGTCTTTCTTTTAAATCTTTGACTCTATAATCACAAAGTTTGTTCAGTTTACCTGCAAATTAATCTGTGTAATTAGCCTGAGTAAGGAATGGAACGGCCAACTCTAGATCCATGGAGTTTGTATTGGGACAAGTTGTGGCTAGGCTGAGGCTGGGTAAAAGATAGCCTTCGAGGAGGAAAGTTCCGCCTTGAGGACAGACTGCTGATTACAATTTACTGGTGGTCTCAACTCTTCAAGACGCCTTTAGCATCTCATATTTGAAAGAGATTGCTCATTCTGCCTTTTGCCTGATAGAAATCCAACTCAGTCAACATTTAGTGAGCACCTAATATGAGTCAAAAAGGATGTTGGGCGTTGAGGATACAAACAGTCCTTGCCATTCTGTGCCTAGCTGGGGAGAAACAGAGAAACGGAATCGTCGTACAATGTGTTAATTCTGCGGCAGAGAGAGAGACTGACAGTTGGATGAGAACACTGAGGCAGGAATATTTAGTTTAGTCAGGCTGCCCATGGAAAGTTTCTTGAGGAGATTATACCTGGAAGACAGGTAGAAGTTGGTGGCCAGGATTTGGCATCCCCAGGAGATGCTACCTAGCCTCTACTGGGATATCTCCAAATTCTGTAAGTGAGGTTTGAGGGGACAGGGGCAGAAAGGGGAGCTCAGGATTTTACCAGTGTATTGAACTAGAATCTCCAACCTTCTGACCTTTGATCCGAGTCTGCTCTCTGGGAAAACAGCATAAATCTGCTCCCTCTTTTATTTGGCAGCCTTAAAAACAATTGAAAATGGTCATCATAGGCTCCTTCTCCTTTACCTGAAAA